CTTTCCCTCCTGGAAAAAGTTGCAGCGCTAGTTTTACACCGTTCCTCAAGATTAGATGGGTTTTCAAGATGACAGCGCTGTTCGTTAGCTTCCTGTTATGAATACGTACTTGGCACGATTTTGAGTAGTTAAGGAAGTGTAGATTCAAGAAAAATAACCCCCAAAACACCATTAGCGATATCTAGTCCTTGCATCCCCAGCTGTGAACCGGAGAGCGCGGCCGAGCCCTCTGTCTCTGCAATCCTACCCCTGCAGTCCCAGCCAGCTGATGCTGTTCCTAGCAAGTGACGCCAGGATCAGTTCCCTGGTTAGAACAAACTTCCCCAGCAGCGCACAAGAAGAGGGCGGTGTGCTGTTGCAAACACCCAGCCACAGTCAGGGCCTCCAAAGAACACAAAACAATTCAACCATTTGTCTGTCAGGGAGTTCTAAACTTTTCCACAGAGCACTGCGGCTGCCTGGGGGCGCGGACCAAAACCCTACTAAAAGGAAAAAAAATCCCCTAACAAGGGCCCGGGGAAGAGCACAGACCCTTGTTTCCACCTGCTGCATCTCTGTTCGCTTCTTCCCTCAGCTTCATCGAGTCCCAGCTTGCCACTGCCCACTTCAGCGTGCTCTTTCACAGTGAATCCGGTCAAACAGCGCAAAAGACGGAGCTCCGGGTCATCTTCCCTCCTTCCTTCTACTCTCAGAGTGCAGTAAGGATTATCAGTCTTTCAATATTCAATACTCAAGCTTGGGAGATTTGCTTTCCCATTGAAATCTGATCCGATTAATTCAAGGACGTTTAATGAAAGATCTTGTAATAAACCACAGTAACGGTTACACAAACAGAAGCAGCACAGGACATTGTCCCATCTGCAGGAGAACAGGGAGACTCCTCCACAGGCCGCCCCCGGCACCGTGGGCGTTGCCTGACACACCTGATGGGGCGTGTGATGGGTTTGCTTGGCATCATGAAGCTGTTGATTTAAATAAAGTCGTAAGGATTTTCCTATATGGAATTGTGTGTATTTTTTTCAAGGGTTTTTTTCCAGAATGAAAACAAACAGCAGCTTTAGGCAAAATCTTTTACAAAGTATATTCCTTCTTGTGGCAGAGACATGCCTTTTAGAAAGACAGAAATAGAGAGAGAATCCCTGTTACTTTCAGTAGATTATTTCAATGCATAGATTTTAACTAAACATTTAATGCTGGTAAGACAGTCGTCACTACACATAATACTTCCTACAGCTTTTATCATGCTTGTGTGAGTGCCAGGTCATAGCGGTATGTTCTGGAATAATTTCTTTCTGCTTGCTAGAATGCCCTCTGCCGGAGCTGGGCTGGGTGGAAGGGCTCCCCAGACAGTCTCCAGCATCTTCTTTCCCACTTGAAACACTGACTGGAGGAGGAGCTGGCAAGCGATGCGTTTGTGTTACCCCCAGGCTGTAGGAAACCCAAACCCAGGTTACTGCAGGAAGGACAGGGCGGGGGAGGACGGACATCAATGCAGCAGCTTTGGGTCATCCACCGTCTTTTTCACTGTTGGGGCTGGAAGCAGCTGAGAAGCCCCCCAGTTCAATCCCTGCCTTACCCACCGGCAGTTCAGCCTGCCAGAGGGCAGCAACCCTTGTTCCTCTCCCCTTCGAGCAAACTTACTGCCTGGCACAGAAATATGACCAGACACCGTGTCCCTAGAGTGAGTGACAGTGTAAAACAGGGTGACAGGCCTGAAATACACCCAGATCCCAAAATGAGGTAGCTCCCATTATCCCCATTCCCCTTCCTCCTTGCTAAAATTCCTTTCCTTTTAAGTGCAATGGGTTTTTTTTTTGTGTTTGGGGTTTTTTTTGGTTGGTTTTTGTTTGGTTTGTTTGTTTGTTTTTTAAAAACAGAACAGTTTCAAAGTTTACCTTATTAGGCCTTAGGGCTCACACTTACATCTGCCATCCTTTCACCTTCGTGATCTTTTACTCAAGTGAAATCGTTTATTCACTTCAGTTTCTAACGATGCCGTTTTTGCAGTTTGCGACTCCCCAAAGTAAGCCCACACCGTGTCCAAGAAATTCAACAGAAAGTCCCAGTGTTTTTCCCACCAGTAAGAGGCTCCAGCATGAAAAAATGCTTGAAATTTTATTCAAATACGTACAACAGTTCTAATCATCATCACCCTGAGGATTATCATCCCTCGGTTGCAGAAGGCACTTTCTAAAGAGGAGCAAGTATCTCCCCAGAAGCAGCACGTTTCTGGACCCGATTTTCACTGCAGGAGGAATGCAACACAAGGGCTGCACTAGCTGCCCCGGTGGACAGCTGCCAGTCCTCACTCGTAACACCTTCAGTTCGCTGGTAAAGCTCTCTAAAATGTCTTAACTGCTTCAAATTTCTTTTAAAGCTTTCTAGAACTTCATAAAGTCCCTGTTTGTTGGATTTGAGTGTAGAAATTGACACTACACATAAATAAAACCATTTAATAAAGATCTTCTCTAAAGGAGCTATTAGTTACCCTTTTAAAACACAATGGGCAGGTTTCTGCTCGGTTTTGTGCTAGTTAACTCCACAACACCCTCGCTAAAACCCAACAGAATTCACCAAGGAAACATTTGGTCAGGATGAGAGTCCAGGCCAGGTTCCCCAACGAAGGTCCTTCAAGCTATGTTGAGCAGCGCTGGATTTTTTTCCCCACCCCCTCAGCAGTTTTTTCGCTAAATTGTTCCATTCTGTCTCACCGGCAAGTGACACTCCCCACGGCTCTTCAGCCTGGGGTGAAATTCAGCCCGTCTCGGTGCGCCAGCCCCCCTTCCTCACCGTGGCTCCGGCAAGGCGTCTGCTGCGCAGCGGAAGCCCAGGTTGGACGCCGAGCTGTCGGGGGTGTTCTGGCTGCGGGCCGCGCAGCGGTACCTGTAGCAGTAGGACTGGAGGGCGAGAGGAGAAACCGGGAACGTCAGAGCGCGTCACAGCTCGTGCTTCCTCAGGCAAGAGCTTGTTCGATTAATACAGCAAAGCATCTCCCCGCTGCTGGAGCGGTCAGTGAGCTGATGCTGCTCCAACCCGCTGTGGCAGGTAAGGGAAATCCCACGGTGCAGAGGGAAAAGGTAGTTTG